GGGGGGGGGGGGAGGGAGGGAAGAGAGAGAAATGTACTAAAATCATATGTCTGTTAAAGGATCAACTTTACAAAAAAACCAGTTACCTGAAGGCTGTAAAATAGTAAGTACAGAATCAGTATGGGCAGCATGCCCTGATCTGACCACCAAAAGAATGGGTAACTCCAAAACCTGTGCAGGGCCTAGAGTGGATATTCAGGCATTTTAAATTGTTATTTCTTATAATCATTTGAGTTACATTTTTGACAAAACATGTACTTTGTTTCAAGTTGCTTCTGTGTCTTAACATACAATTATTCTCTAGAAGACATTAAAAGAAACTCTTGCAGGGGCCCTGCTTATTCAGTTAGATAAATCAGCTACTACAGTAGCTAACGTATCCAGTTACAGTTAAGTGACTGGATATTGGGTTCCAGTAGCCAAATGCAGTAGCAACAGGCTTATCATGAAGAAACACCAGAAGGGACATTATAACTTTTCATGTAGTGATTCAAGACAGTTGTCTATCTGAAGTATGGAAGACAGAAATACCACACTGCTGTTGCCGTACCTCTAAACACAGAACAGTTATTGTGTAATGCACCACATGGAGCAGCAGCAAGCTTTCACTTACTACCCCATCAGTTTATCTTAACTGTAACCCAGACGAGCCTTAAGAATAACAGCTCAATATCCAAAACAATTCAGTCCTTTGCAAATTAATGGTTGCACATGACAGATACTTCTTTGCTACATACAGCCAATCTACCACTTGACTCACAAGCCAATAGAGAAGTCTAGCCATTCCGTTTTCCTCAGGTGGAAGAACTACAATGGCTGATCTACTGATCTGTAACTGGATTTTTATCTCCTGAAGTGCAATTTCTCTGCTCTAACAACTTTATTGCTCCTATAAGTCTTTGAGATTTGGCCATAAGACACATGCTCAAAATGTATTCCAGTTTGCAGAAATTCATAAAACAAATTAAGTGCTTATATGCATCTTTAAGAAGGAAGGCCACTTGAAGTTACTTGCTACTGTAGTAAAGAAAATTCAAAAGTAACAAATTTAAATCAGAATTTGTAATACCAATCTTAACTCCTGTTTCAGTAATTTACGTTTACAACATCGTACCCCACAAATAACAATAAATAAGGATTTGAAATATCTACTATTTATGCAAAAAGAAGCAGATGCAAAAAACAGAAAGCCTGCACTTGTCCTGGTGGCTGTTGCAGGACAGCAACATGATTATCTTCCAATTTCTTTTACTTGTTTGTCCTATTTTATTTCAGTACTATCTGACTATGTCAACATATTAACTACTTTAATATTATATTTAGAATTATTTCACTCAGCATCTGTTGCAAACAAATGAGTTTCAGATCAGTATCAGATTATCAACTGTGTTGTGACCATTCCAATGTAACAGACCGGAAAATTTTATTTGCAATTGCCTTCAGTAGTAAATGTGACACTAATAATACTGGTTTGATTTGGTTCATGGACAGGTTTAAAAAAAAAAAAACCTATCATTCAAAGCCAGATTATAAAAGTTTAGGATAAATTGAATACAGAGTTACAGATTGACTTGTGAACCCCAGAGGCACAAATATAACACTGTAAAGGTCAAATTATATCAATCTTGTTTAATTATTAATAGAAGTATCAAGAATACCTGTGTTAACAAGGGACTCTTAAATTCAGCACCCTCAGTCAGAGCTCCAACAACATTACCTTTCATCCACCTACAGTACTAATATACTAAGCTTGTTTACATTTCAACTCAGACAGGACATAAGGCCCCTAGAAAGTACTATATTAAAAATATAACATGTTTATAACATGCATAAAATATATTTTATTCAAGTACTGTATTAAAAACATTGAAGGACAGTGTAGTGACTCTACCAGAAACAGAAGATCAACAGAAAACCAACACCTATACAGTCCCACCCTATTTTCAAACCCATCTTCCCTTAAACCATAAAGCAGTGCATTAACTCAAGCCTCCCAGAAATACTACAAAAAAGTCTTGTCATAAAGTGTCAAGCTATATTTGTTAACACATACAGAATGAACAGATCTAGAAAACCCTGGCTAATCATGCTGTCATCATGGAAATTTACGTCCCCAAAATTAAATATATACTCTTCCACATGAACACACTCGTCATTTAGTGTGTTTTTTAATAAGCGGTATTATTTCCAGCTCTGCTGCCCATTTTCTTAAAAATTCCACAGATCCTTCTCAGTCCATCCCTTCTTTACCACTTGATATTCAGCAATCTGTTCAGCAAGAAACTGACTGAATTGCCCATCTCCCAGATTCTCTCTGCAGATGGATTCTCACTGCCCCTGTCTCTTCACTGTTTAGCCTCACTACACTGCTGCTGATGGAAAGGAAACCTAGGAATCCAAGAGCATGCTGCTATTAAAAACACCATAGTGCCTGCTACAATCTCTAAGAGATCTCCAAGACACAGTACTATAAGCTGGACCTAAGGGAGAAAGATGTGTTTCACATATACTTAGCCCCCAAAGCATCTAAATAAACTGCTTCAGAAAGCCAGGAAAGGTAGCTAAATACAACCACCATGAATTAAATTCCAGCATCTTGGAAGAGACAACTAACTGAATTTAGGATAGCATGACACAGTTATAAAACATGTTTAGTTCCAGAAAGTCTCCTGCTACAGAGATGCTTAATATGGGATAGAGCTTGCACTGGCTGGGATCAAGCCACAAAAGACATGCAAGACAAATTTAAAACTATGTGAAGCCTGAAAGTAGTTTCAAGAGCTGTATGGTGTGTTCATGTAGACATTTTCATGCCTGGACTGCATACAAGAGCCTTGAATAATATAACTCAAAGAACAAGGATCTTACCTAACCGTAGTTCTCCAAAATTACCACATCCAATTTTTTTGCCAACTCTGAAGTTAGGGCCAACCATTAACACTCCAGAACTTGAAGAACCAGCTCCACGCAGATTATGGCCTGACCTTCCACTAGGCCGTGCCATTCTTTCATCTGGCTTGTCCTTGTCTTTCTTTTTATTATCCATGTCAAATTTACGGTACTCCACTTTGATTTCTTCCTCTCTTGAAAAATCAGTCTGAACAAACTCCAATTGGACAATGTGAGTATAAAAACATCACCAGTGAAGTGCCCAGCTGGTTACTGTCAGTAAGCAGTCAACAGCAGCATGTTCATCCCATTCGCAAAGCCTTGGTAGTATTTGTAGTAATAATGTATCTCCAGAATGCACAACACCAGCAATATTGACTAGTATTTACAGGAATTCTGTTAAAGAAAAACAAAGTTATTCAAGTAAGATACTTGTGCAAAATTACTTCTCTCCAACTACTCATACAATTAAGCTATAATTATATTACATCTGTTTTACAGATCCTCTATGAAAAGCACTCTAATATTAAAGCATCTGATCTAGAACATAATGGCAAGAGATATTGGTGTGACTCAGTGACCTAAAAAATCTCAAGGGTTAATGCAACAGATACTTTCAAAGAAATCCCCAATCTATAAAACTATTTCCTGAGTAGGTAAACACTTAAAATCGACATTTAGACACTGATTGAATCCTAGGTCAGCTCTGCAAAACAAAGTGTTTGTGGTATTTTTTTTCCCTCCCAAGTAGTATCTGTTGATTTGTGGAAATGCTCAAACTGCACAGTTATTGAACATATAAAAAGATACTCAAAGTTAAATTGACTCCATTATCTTTTCTGAAATATAATTTCTCAGATGCACAATTTAAAAACTCATGGCAATGACACTTCCATTCTTTCAGTAACTCCTACAGTCTGAAAACAAGATATACTTATTCTCCCCTCTCCCATTTCAGTGTTGTAAGTTGGCTTTCCCACTTCCCTTGTCCTATTTGCCATCATTGCCTAGACACCAATATCAACATGGATTTCAGCAAAAACTTGTTAGCTTACTACTGCAAGGAAGAATCCCAAGAAACCTTTAACTTCTATCTTGCCCATAAGAACAGTGAATATTGCTTTGTATTTGACAGCGGTTTAAAAACCTCAAACTCAACGATAGTTGGCTACTACGTAGGCAAAATACCTGTTCAAAATTATTTTGCTACATTTGTTTTAATGTTGGGAATACACTGCAGTAAAAGAAAACATCTTCTGAACAGGTAGTGTTTTATGTGTTTTGGCCTAATTTAAAGATAAATCATAGGAGCTTATTTTAAACACTTTGAACTAAAGACACTTTCATTTCTTAAACCCTATTCTCACAAAGCAAAATAACTGCTCGCATTATAGCTTATTAGAATATTAAAAAAACCACCAACAAACAAACAAACAAAGAGCCAGTGAAGAAGATACCTAAGAATATAAACAACCAGCCAAATACTACATCTACTGATTCATGGATATTCATAGCATGGTCATAACTAGAAGATATTTTGAAATCACTAATCAACAGCTCACTAACCTATCACCTGGACAATGAAACATGTGAAAATTTGTTTTTCAAAGAAACATGATCACCTTACTATGAAAAGGGGAATGGAATACTTATTCTGAGAACAATCAAAACACACAAATGTAGATTTCTGTCCAAGGAGACTTGCTTAACTGAGAAGGACTTCAGTAGTGAATAATGAATGCAGTGGTGTGGTATGGTATAAACAGAGTCATTTAAGAGAAAAAGACAAGCACATTTGTCTACAACAAACTTGCAGGTTCAAGCACTACCACTAGATACCCTAAAGTCACTTTACAAACCACGATCTCAGAGGAATAGACTTAATGGAAAGCAACAGGTAATTTTTCCTTACCCAATGTACTATGAAAGCTCAGGAAGAAATAAGAAAACTAGAAATGGAGTGTGTTGAGGTAGGACTTCAAGGGCATCATTTAGTATTTCAAACATCAATACATCTGATGCAGCATAATGCATGAGTATTTTACATACCTGTACTGGGTCTGGCTGAGCTGGAATTTGGTTTTTCCCTATAGCAGCCCTCATAGTGCTGTGTTTTATGCTGGGAGCTGGCAGGGTGTTGGTAGCACCCTGGTGTTGTGGCTACTGCTGAGCAGTGCTTACACAGCACCAAAGCTCTTTCCAACATTTCGCTCCACAGTGGGATGGGGTGGGCAAGATCTTGGGAGGAGACACAACCAGGACACTGACCCGAACTGACCAAAGGGATATTCCAGACCATATGACGTCTGCTCAGGATAAAGCTGGGAGAAAGGAGGAAGGGGGTGGGGTCACCCTTGGTTCTCCGAGGAACCGCTACGCATGTTGGAGCCCTGCTGCCTGGGAAAGCCCAACATCACCTCTTCACGGGAAGTAGAGAATAATTTTTTCTTTTTTTGCTTCCACAAGCAGACCTTTGCTTCACTTTGCTTAAATTAAAACTGCTTTTGTTTTACCCACAACAGTTGGTCCATCTTATTTTTTTTCCCCTCTTTCCCTGTTGAGAAAACAAGAGAAAGGGAAGGGAAGTGATAGAGCAACTTGGTGGGTACCTGGCATTTAGCCAAGGTCAAACCACCACAGTACCAAAGAAAAAAGACTTATGTTCCACATCTTACTGATTCTCCAGTGAGATATAGAAGTTAAACAATACCAGAATTTCTAGTGCTAATACACAGGCTTCATGGCAAACAGAAGTAATGCACCTAAGCACAGCATATTACTACCATCACCAAAGAGCGAAACAGTAAGTATAGACAGTTATTAACACTTTGGCAATGTTAGTAGCAGTGGAAGGCTGGACTGTCTGGCACTATTTTCCACATACCGAAACCTTCATAATACCACCAGCACTGAAAGATATACCTTGGAACAGTTAAAGGCTAGAAAGGTACTAGTAGTTCATACCAATGATATCAACTGATGGGCTCCACAACTGAGTACTAGGACTACAGAAGGGACAGGGTATGCAGGCAAACGTGAAGAAATCCAAATCTGATTTGAGAGGTAACAGAATTATTAGTTTACAAGTTTTCCATAGCTTATCGGTTGACATATATATAATATCTAATCACAAGTCAAAGAGTTTTAAAACTGTACACTTTAATGCATCACAATTTCATTTTAGAAGAAAACAGTTCTAGCTTTGTCATTTATTTCAGATTTCCCCATTTTTTTCTTTGTATTTAACTATCACCTGAGCACAGCGTGCAGCCTTGCTAACTGAGCAGTAAACTTAGCTATAATAGGCTGGGTTCTGAGGGTGCTGAGAAGTAACTCAGGATGCATCAGGACATGTAATAACAAGGAGGAAACATGAGAACAAAGGACACCAGAAATCCAGTAGCAGCACTACAGCAATGGTGATCTCTAAGAAAGCAGTTGTGAGCCAAAGAAAGTCCACCATCATTGGATTCCAGTCTCACAGTTTCAGCTCATGTAGCAATAAAACAGTACCAGAGAAACAAAGCTGGAACTCAGGGACAGATTATTCAGTATTTATGCAAAGCATGTTAGCGGCTCTGTGTGCAGGCTTGTCTAGATGAAGCCTAATAGTTAACAATACACTGAAGCTTTGCCAGTAAGAAATTAATTTGCACAACACTTTTTTTAACCCACCTATAACCATAGAAGATCTTTCATTTCGAAAGTCCAAATCATAACCAAGCCCACGACCATTATAGTATTAAGTTACCAGAGATGCAAACTTCCAATACATTTGGAATCTTCATTTTAAAAACATCCTATCGGCACACCCAAATATCTTCTTCCACAATTTAACAGTCTAATAATTTAGATAACAGTTTGAGGCACTAAAGGCAACAGACTTTCTGAAGTCAGTTTATACTAATACTAGTCTTCAAGAGAACTCTTTCCTTATTAATCAACACATGCACAACCTCAGACATTGAAAATGTCTTATTACATGACACTGCACACTTAAATATCAAATCAGATGCTCTTTTAAGCAATATATAAATTCATACATTAATTGAAACAGCCAATCTGGAATAGAATCCCAAAGAAACTATTGACAGTATTTTTTAATTCCAGTCTTGCTCTGAAACTGAAGCTACAACAGTTAAGTTTTAACTAGTTTCAAAACCTAAACTAATTATAGTGATATATTTTTGCTTTTTTGGTTTTTATTATGTGCCCACCCAGCCACTCTGTCAGCCCTCCTTCTCAAGAGGTCTGTGGGAATAAAGTAAGATGCAAAAACTCATGGGTGAAGATTAAGACAGGGAGATCACTCAATATCTTTTCTTTACCATAATGCTCACATTCTAGAGGAAAAACAATAAAAATCAAAGACATATATACACACATACAGCTTTTTCAAGTACTTGGGCATGCAAAAACATCTGATACAGAATGCAAGTATATTATCAGTTATGAAAATTGAATTAATTTTCCTAAACCATTAAAGGAAGATCCAGCAGATTTTTTCCAAAGACTTAACATAATTTGTAAGGCTCAGAAGTTAATATTCAAAAGTGTACATCATCTTAAGGGAAAAAAATAGCACATATAGTGTAAGCATTCTAAATTACTTGCATAATCCTTTTCTTGCTATGTGCTAGTTATATGGGCTATATTCTCCCCATGTGCAATCCACCTGAAAAATGTGCCATCCCTGTCCTCATTTCACAGCTTGATTTTCTGTTTAATTTTCATTTTTCATCTCTGTCTACATAAATGAGCACACTTGACCCATAAGCTTAACCCAGACATCAGGGAATATTATTAACATTTAAAGAAGGGTCCTTGCTCAAGAAATATACAATTAAATATCATTATAATAGCAAACACACCACCAAAGCCAAGTTCACAAAGCAATGTCATTGGGAGTGAAAAGAGTATTTATGCTGAAGTATGAAGAGCATGAGAAGGCAAAGGAAACTGAAAAAACTCAAAATTATATTACATAGCAGGAAAATGAATTAGATATTAGATCTACAATCCATATAGATTGAGGCTAAAACATGAAAGAAGACTGGAAGACCTGTAAGGAACCAGTCAGAGGAACTGAGATGTGCAAAACTAAAAATCAGCTAATAGAGGTTTTATTTATTTGATGGTATTTAATAGACATTCCCAAACACTTTGAACAGTCTGTCTAAAAAGCAAGGAGAAAAGTGGTGCAGATAAGCAAGAGTGAAGACAGATAGATATATGTTACAGTTGACTGACAGCAGTCATACCCCTAACACCTGCAGAAGAGTAAATGATATCTCAAGCTCAGAAACCTACACTAAAATCGATGGCAAAAATCAGCCAGGCTACTGATCTGTGTCAACACATCTCTTAAACACAGAGCACACAGTCAAATTAAGCAA